GCAGAGAGAGAGCAGGAGAGCCTGTGTGTAAGAGGTTGCAGACAGAGCAGGAGAGCCTGTGTGTAAGAGGTTGCAGAGAGAGAGCAGGAGAGCCTGTGTGTAAGAGGTTGCAGACAGAGCAGGAGAGCCTGTGTGTAAGAGGTTGCAGAGAGAGGAGAGCCTGTGTGTAAGAGGTTGCAGAGAGCAGGAGAGCCTGTGTGTGAGAGGTTGCAGAGAGAGGAGAGCCTGTGTGTAAGAGGTTGCAGAGAGCAGGAGAGCCTGTGTGTGAGAGGTTGCAGAGAGAGGAGGAGAGCCTGTGTGTAAGAGGTTGCAGAGAGAGGAGAGCCTGTGTAAGAGATTGCAGAGAGAGCAGGAGACCCTGTGTAAGAGGTTGCAGAGAAAGCAGGAGAGCCTGTGTGTCAGTGGTTGCAGAGAGCAGGAGAGCCTGTGTCAGTGGTTGCAGAGAGCAGGAGACCCTGTGTCAGTGGTTGCAGAGAGCAGGAGACCCTGTGTCAGTGGTTGTAGAGAGCAGGAGACCCTGTCAGTGGTTGCAGAGAGCAGGAGACCCTGTGTCAGTGGTTGCAGAGAGCAGGAGACCCTGTGTCAGTCGTTGCAGAGAGCAGGAGACCTTGTGTCAGTGGTTGCAGAGAGCAGGAGACCTTGTGTCAGTGGTTGCAGAGAGCAGGAGAGCCTGTGTTTGTGTGGTTGCAGAGAGCAGGACAGCCTGTGTGTGTGTGTGTGTGGTTGCAGAGAGCAGGAGAGCCTGTGTCAGTGGTTGCAGAGAGCAGGAGACCCTGTGTCAGTGGTTGCAGAGAGCAGGAGACCCTGTGTCAGTGGTTGCAGAGAGCAGGAGAGCCTGTGTCAGTGGTTGCAGAGAGCAGGAGACCCTGTGTCAGTCGTTGCAGAGAGCAGGAGACCTTGTGTCAGTGGTTGCAGAGAGCAGGAGAGCCTGTGTCAGTGGTTGCAGATAGGAGAGCCTGTGTATGTTTGGTTGCAGAGAGCAGGAGAGCCTGTGTGTGTGTGGTTGCAGAGAGCAGGAGAGCCTGTGTGTGTGTGTGGTTGCAGAGAGCAGGAGAGCCTGTGTCAGTGGTTGCAGAAAGCAGGAGAGCCTGTGGCATTGGTTGCAGAGAGCAGGGGAGCCTGTGGCAGTGGTTGCAGAGAGCAGGAGAGGCTGTGTCAGTGGTTGCAGAGAGCAGGGGAGGCTGTGTCAGAGGTTGCAGAGAGAGAGCAGGAGAGCCAGTGTCAGTGGTTGAAGAGAGAAAGAGAGCAGGAGAGCCTGTGTCAGTGGTTGCAGAGAGAGAGGAGAGCCTGTGTGAGTGGTTGCAGAGAGAGAGAGAGAGAGAGGAGAGCCTGTGTGAGTGGTTGCAGAGAGAGAGAGAGGAGAGCCTGTGTGAGTGGTTACAGAGAGAGAGAGAGGAGAGCCTGTGTGAGTGGTTGCAGAGAGAGAGAGGAGAGCCTGTGTCAGTGGTTGCAGAGAGAGAGAGGAGAGCCTGTGTCAGTGGTTGCAGAGAGAGAGAGGAGAGCCTGTGTCAGTGGTTGCAGAGAGAGAGCAGGAGAGCCAGTGTCAGTGGTTGCAGAGAGAGAGAGAGAGGAGAGCCTGTGTGAGTGGTTGCAGAGAGAGAGAGAGGAGAGCCTGTGTGAGTGGTTGCAGAGAGAGAGAGAGAGGAGAGCCTGTGTCAGTGGTTGCAGAGAGAGAGAGAGAGAGGAGAGCCTGTGTGAGTGGTTGCAGAGAGAGAGAGAGAGAGGAGAGCCTGTGTGAGTGGTTGCAGAGAGAGAGAGAGAGGAGAGCCTGTGTGAGTGGTTGCAGAGAGAGAGAGAGAGAGGAGAGCCTGTGTGAGTGGTTGCAGAGAGAGAGAGAGGAGAGCCTGTGTCAGTGGTTGCAGAGAGAGAGAGAGAGAGAGGAGAGCCTGTGTGAGTGGTTGCAGAGAGAGAGAGAGAGGAGAGCCTGTGTGAGTGGTTGCAGAGATAGAAAGAGAGCAGGAGAGCCTGTGTGAGTGGTTGCAGAGAGAGAGAGAGAGGAGAGCCTGTGTGAGTGGTTGCAGAGAGAGAGAGAGAGGAGAGCCTGTGTGAGTGGTTGCAGAGAGAGAGAGAGAGGAGAGCCTGTGTGAGTGGTTGCAGAGATAGAAAGAGAGCAGGAGAGCCTGTGTGAGTGGTTGCAGAGATAGAAAGAGAGCAGGAGAGCCTGGAGCTCACTGAACCATCTGTGTGCCTGTCACACACACACACAGAGCTGGAGCTGCTGCTGATGTTGAGGGTAATCAGACCAGCAGTGAAGGGAAGACCAAACTGCTGCTGCATACCCCACAGCCACAACATTGCACACACACTCCCCCCCCCCCCAACCCCACCCTCTCTCTCTCCAGCCCATTCCACGGCATATTTCAAAGGAGAAAAGGGAGGGAGAGGGTTGTGTGTGTGGGAAGCTCTCTCCCTTTGAAATCTCGAGAGCTCCAACCACTTGTGGCTCCTTTCCCCCCCAACCCTACCTCCTCACACACCACTCACCCCCCCCCCCCCAAAGAAAAAGCCCTCGAGCGCTGAATGTGCATTGCTTCTTTTGCAAAGAAACCTGTTCGCAATCAAATAAAATCCTCAAGAGTCGAAAGAGGGCAAAAGGGCTTCCTGCATATTGCAGGCCAAGGGTGGTTCTTCCTGGTTGCCTGGGGCGGGCGAGGGAGAGAGGGTGCAGGAGGGTGCAGCAAAGTTTAATTTCAACTTTTACCAGGAATATCTTCTTCATTGGTGGCTTCTCTCCCACTCCTGCGTATCAAAGCAATCTGATTGCAATTGTTTCCGCGGAAGACCTTTTTATCTCTTCCTCTTGATGTTTTTCAAATGTGTGTGGGAGAGGGAGGCGAGAGAAGGGGGTCTCCCTGAGGATGAAGTAAATTCAAGCAGATCGGTGATATTCCAAAGTAACGCTGTTGCTTGTTCTGATGCTTGGATGTTTCATCAATGAGACCTTTGAAGTGTGGGCATATTCTCAACTCCGTAAACTCCGTGATGTGTGAGACAGAGCTACATACTGATAAGCTGCATGGATATCATTTTCTCTTCATGTCGCTCCCTTTCTCCCTAACATTCAATGCTGGGGGAATGCCGAATTTTGGAGGTATTAATAATCCTTGCATTTGATATAGCGCCTTATCACGTCTTCGAGACGTCTCAAAGCGCTTCACAGAATATACTGTAAAGTGAATCGACTGTATTTTGTGGATGAAACAAGGCAGCCAATTGCACACTGCAGTGTCCCACATACCGTCATGGATTAAGTGACCAAATTATTATTATACTTGTTTTTTGAAGGGATTATTACCAGGCAGGTTCACCAGAATGTTACCAGGCCTAAAACGGTTAAATTACGAGGAAAGGCTGCGTAAACTTGGATTGTATACCCTTGAGTTTGGAAGATTCAGGGGTGATTTGATTGAGGTATTTAAGATGATAAAGGGATTTGATAAGGTAGATACAGAGAAGCTATTTCCTCTGGTGGGTGAATCCAAGGCATAGTCTTAGAATTAGAACCAGGCCATTTAAGATTGAAATCAGAAGCATTTTTTCATTCAAAGGGTGGTAAAAATCTGGAATTCTCTCCCCCAAAAGGCCGTGGATGCTGGATCCATCCACACTTTCAAGAGTGAGGTTGATAAATTTTTGGTAGGTCAGGGTATTAAGGGATATGGGGAGAAAGCAGGAAATTGGAATTGAAAGGATTTGTTGAGGTACAAATCAGCCATGATCTAATTAAATGGTGGAACAGGCTCGAAGGGCTGAATGGCCTCCTCCTGTTCCTATGTTCCTATCCTCAGAAAAGCAGTCCATCAACAAGGGTTCCAACTTACTGCTAGGTAAACAGAGGCGTGTGGAGCAAAGAAACTTGCCAAGCGTTTCGCTGTGCCTAGGAATCAAATCCAAGTCTGCTTGCTTGCAAGGCGAGTGCTCTAACCACAAAGCTACAGGACTCCATGAGGTGTCGTCCTTCGGATGAGGTATTAAAATGATGCCCCACCTGCCTATCAGTGGGACGTTAAAGATCCCATGCCACTATTCTAAAAGAAATGAATTTTCCCGCTGTCCTGGCCAACAGTTCCCCAAATAAAATTAGTCATTCAGTTCATGGCTGTTTGTGGGATATGTTTGTGGCTACTGCATTTGCCCACAAAGTCACTCCACTTTGCAGTATATCCTGTAAATCCTTTAGGGACATCCAATGTGAAACACACAATTATAAAATGTAAGGATTATTATTATATTACTTTGGACAGTGGAGTGGGAAAATGGTAAAGAAACATTGGCAAGTCAAAAAAACGTGTTGGAGGAATGCTGACTTGTTAGAGTGCTGTCCTTTTCTGTCCACTAAGGTGGATGTCCTGTAGCTTAGTAGGTTAGCGATTAGAGCACTCTCCTCACAGGCAAGAGGACCTGGGTTAAATTCCTGGGAAGGACCAAATGTTAGGC